CGGCGACGGTCAATAGATGGCGTCAGGTTTTGACGTTTATTTTGACGGGAGAGGTGCCCCATGCTTCTATATATCTATATATAAATATCAGATATATTTTTATTATTTTTTCACATGTTGAGCGTATTTACGCAAGTTTGCATTAAATACCCTTTTCTTGGTTTCTCAAGAAGCCTCTGGGACCAAAACATTTTTGGTCACTGTGGTACAGCCTGTTCCACGCTGACGAGGGCCAACAGCCCGAAACGCGTTCGTGAATGGCTTTTATTGATTTATAAAGAAAATTGTATGGCCAAATATCAGGGAACAGGCTAAATCAACGTTTAGTTGATTTCTGTTCCACTAGATGGCGTTCTGCCATCTGAAAAGCTGATGTGCTCGTGGTCAGGATATGCTTTCATTGTTTTTAATATCAACACCTGACCTTTTTATTATTATTTTTTATATTATTTTTTCACACACACACACACATATATATACACTGCGTGACATTGAAAATGGAACACCAAGAAATAGTGGCCAGAAAGTGATGAAACTCGGCAGACAGAGAGAGACAGGGACGAACAATAAGTGATCTTTATTTCAAAATGATGGTCATAATACAGAGCGAGAACGGCATCGGCTTAGTAGCAAGTAGGACCACCGCGGACGGCGATGCACGCAGCAACACGTCTAGGTAGAGAGTCAATCAGAGTACGGATGGCGTCCTGAGGGATGGCTCTCCATTCCCTCTCAACCATTTGCCACAGTTCGTCTTCTGAACGCGGCTGTGGCAAGGCATGCAAACGGCGTCCAATGATGTCCCAGACGTGCTCGATTGGTGAGAGATCAGGAGAGTACGGTGGCCAGGGAAGCATCTGTACATCTTGCAGAGCTTGTTGGCTAATGGGAGCAGTGTGCGGTCGGGCGTTATCCTGCTGATAAAGGGCATTGGGTACCCCCTGAAGGTAGGGGAGTGTCACCGGTCGCAGCACATCATCAACGTATCGTTGGCCGTCATAGTGCCCTGAATACGAAGTAAAGGTGACCTGGAATCATACGCGATTGCGCCCCAAACCATGATTCCACGTTGTCGCACGGTGGGGCGTTCCACAATTGCTGCCGGATTGGACCTTTCTCCACGTCGACGCCACACGCGTACACGGCGACTATCACTGGACAAGCAGAAACGCGACTCATCTGAGAATACGACCCTGTGCCATTCCGTCATCCACGTCGATCTAGCCCGGCACCATTCCAAACGTTGGCGCCTATTCGGTGGGGTCAATGGCAGTCTTCTTAGCGGACGGCATGAGTGCAAGCCATTAGCAACCAATCGACGGGAAATGGTTCTGGTCGAGATGGAATGATCTAATGTGTCTTGCACATGTTGCAGGATGGCGGTACAAGTGGCTTGTGGGGCCGCCACTGCTTGTCGAAGGATACGCCGATCCACACGTGCTGACGTCACTCTGGTTGCACCGACATTCCTATAAATTTCCACATTTCCTTGTTCCAACCATCTTCTCCACAGTCGATGCACCGTGGACGCACCAAGGTGTGTATCAGCTGCGATTTGACGTATGGACCAACCTGCCCTTTTCAGTCCGATCACCATGCCCCTCGTAAAAGCGTCTGTCTGCTTGAACTGCCTCCGTTTACGATGACCTGGCATTCTCTGTTATTACACGTGTCTTTTGACACAAGAACAAAATTTCTACAATGATTTTCCTTGAAGAAATAACGACACGAATACTGTCCTTTCTGCAAGTTCCTTCCCTTATATCTTACTCCATGTGCGCATTTTACATCATTTGCATAACTCGGTTAGGCGCGTCTACCCTGAAATTTGCATAATTTTCTGGCCACTCTTTCTTGGTGTTCCATTTTCAATGTCACGCAGTGTATATACTTGATAAATAATTAGATAAAATATAATAGAGGGAAAAAAAGCGTCATATGCTGGGTAAAAAATGAAATAAGCGGAGAGGTTTATAGAAAAGAGCAAAGACAGTAACATGATAATAATTAAAATACAAGCTAGAGTGAAGAAAGAAAAACATTTTTTATATCTTTCTCTTGAAGAGAGGGGAATCCTTCCCCTACTGAGAGTGACAGGGATTCACTGAAACATTGGGAACTAAATAGGAAATTTTCTTTGACTTTACATTTTTTGAAGAGAAAATTATTAATATACTCTAATTTAAAGGTTAAATATAAATATTTAGAAGTGTTTGAATTTTTTGAAGTTTTAAAAGTTTAATTATGACTTTCATGATGCGTGTAACGAAAATCATTATGATACTTTTTTTCACATTCAAGCAACTCTTTGAAAGTTTCAATAATTTTTTTGGAGGTTTTGAATTAAAATATGTATAGAAGACATTCACATATCTTTCATGACGGTGGGATACCTTTTAGGGGATTTTCCTTTCCCGGTTGTAAGACTACTCGCACAAGTTAGAATACTTTCAAGTTTTTTTTAGAGAAAACCACACCAAGATGCTCTGCGGTGAGGACCCGATTTGTACCTTATGTAATTCAAAACTAAAAAATGAAATCACTCACTATATTTTTGATTGCTCTGCTCTGAAAGAAGAAAGAAGAACCCTTATGCTCAAAACTGGGCAACTCTGTGCTTCACTTCCATCAATAATTGACAATATGACCCAGAATAAGTATATTGCTACGGCGTTTTATGGTTTCCACAAGTCCGTATCTCAGAAGAAGGCCAAGTGACACTCACTCCTCACTTTCTTACTGCTACTCTTTTTGTGTTGTTTTTCTTGCTTCCCTCTTTCTCTTTCTTGTTTTTTTTTTCTTCTTTTTCTTCTGTATATATCGTTATTTCCTTTGTCTCACTGCTTTGTTCTTATGCATACCTCTGGTGAATCCTGTATAGGGTCAGTGACCCTGAATAAAGGCTTTTTGTTGTTGTTGTTGAAATATGTATAGGCTATTGAAAAATTAAGAACATTTTATAAGAAAAAAAAAAGATGCACAATTAAAAAGTTAGGCAAATTAGATAAAAAATTTGATATGCAAGGATGTTTCGACTGATTGTATGAATTATTAAATTATGGCGTTAATCAATGATCATGTAACGCTGTAGTTAATCTTAACTGAGTAACTGGCAGTATATAAAAGTAGATACGTTTCATTTCCTTTTAAATGCCTTGAATCTATTGCCTCGAAAACAGATAGGCATATAAGAGAAGTCATAAAGTTGGTCTAAAAAAAGCTGGTTGGTCTAATTGGAGGTTCAACCGAAATTTAGATAGGAGCGGTGCATTTATTAGAAGATGTTGGCAGAAATGGCAGAACTGTGGTCGAGCACAACGTCTGGAGGACAACGGTATATCTAGAGAGATGACTGAACTAGATGACCAAGAAATCATAAGAGCAGCTCTCACTCATCTATATATATCATTAACAAATATCAAGCATGGAACTGGTGCATAAGTGACCTCAAGACTCAGAGAAAGAGGGCTGAGGTCATGGCGTCCATAGCGCTGAATACCCTTGACCAACAAGCAAGTTTTCAGTGGCGCTAAATTCGTTTATCATGAGATTTGACTGAATGCTCTGGTATAATTGTCTTCAGTGATTAATGTTCTACTTCGAATTAACTTTTATTGATCAATGAAAAAGTGTCTGGACAACAGTAGGGTACTAATATGATTGTTGCTCTCCACACGGTCTGAAAACTGAAAACATTTCCCGTTTGGTAGTCACCAATGTCTTTTCCAACGACTGAACATCATCCAAAAACAATCTTCACTTTGAATCCATCCTAAACCTAATGCTTTTATAACCTTGTATGGCTTAAATATGATCTTTTGCAAGCAATAGTCTCCCGCAATGTTGCCCAAAATCGTCATATATGACGACCACTTCTTTAAGGTAAATCCTCCATATCTTCGAAACTCGATAATTTCATACCGCAAAACCATTGCATCTCCTAGATCAATTTGACAAAGAGGGCTCTGGAGCAGTGCCATAGGTTGCAATATCTTTCGATTTTCAACTCCATACAATTATTTGGCTTTCTGAATCGCTAGGAGGAACCAAAATTTGTCTATACCTTTTCTCTATGTCCGCCGTAATAACCAGTCTATGCCTTCGCCAATCGGGATTCTAGCGGGATTCTTTTGGTTGTCATCCGCGTCACTCTAACGTCATGGTGGTACATCGACTAGATTCTAGGTCCAGTTGTGTCTCCCATTATATAATTGCATCTTGGGCTTTCATTTCAGCATATTATAGTCTGGCATAATATAGAAATAGCTTATTCTGCTTGCCCAACACTACCTTTACCCGCAAGGTCGCTGGTTCTCTCCCCAATTGGGCACTTTTGGGGTTTGATGGGCAGGACCCTCTAACACACACACCATCCAAGGATTTATTCATCTAAAGTGCCAAGACAACAGATTGTATTTATTCTCTACTAGCCGAATGGCCCGGGCAACGCCCGGGTTTTACCCGATTAAATGCTTTTATTCAAATACTATTCGTTACAATTGTAAATTGGCGCCGTGGATGTCATTCTTGTATAATATATAAATGAGTCTTAAAAATTGTAAAAAAAAAAATGCATCGACTGGGAATCGAACCCGAGCCGCCCGCGTGGCAGGCGAGCATTTTACCACTGAACTACCGATGCTTATAAGAAATAGCCATATTTGGGTATTTATTCCATTCACAAAAACAAAAGCAAACGGTGACAGAATTGATTAATAATTGTTGCTTGATATATGACTCTGATACTTGCATATTTTAATATTTATTTATCTTTTGAATATAACGTGTGCTTCCTCTTAAAATTTGTGTGTTTCTTTTTATATATTTTATACTAAAGTTGAATCCATTTGAAATAACCCCTACTTGGTGCTTCATTTTTTTAGAACATGTGTATTTCACATTTTACAATATTATTAATATTTTCGATAATATTTATTTTTCTGCCAAGTGTGTTCTTATATTTTTCAAACATTACATATATAGATTTTGCACTTGAAAAAAATGAAGAGCCTCAGATGTATCCATGCATCTATATCACAGCAGTCGCAATGTCCACTGTTGTATAGTTATTAATTAAACATTACTCACCAGATGAAATTATTTTATTACAAATTGTTTATTACACTTTATATTCATATTTTTACATCAACAGGTTGTTTACATTATACATAGTATTTTATTATTGTTTATGATGATGATATATTCTATATTTTAAAACACAGAATACTACATTCCCTCCTTCCTTTAGATGAAAGGAATCATGTCTTTATATCTTGATGATGGCTTGACGACTCTTCCACTCCTGGTGATCACGGGTTCCTTGGTAGTCGGCAAGGGTGGAGAAACCTCTGGTGGCAACTGGTGAAGAGCCTCGGCATCAAGTCTATCTGAAACAACTGGGTTAAATGTAGACCCTGTTCTACTTGAACTTGGTCGGTTTAAAGAAGTGTCCTTGTCTTGGTTTAAGGAATTATCATCTGGTATTTGTACATCAGAAGAGTTGAGGTGTTCAATTCTTGTTGAATCTGAACTAAGATTTTCCTGGCTCTCTTCTGGAATCAAGTCAGAAATGTCTTGATTGGTCTCTTGAGTAGGAACATGTTTCAAATGTTTAGCATTTCTATGAATTATTTTCCCATTTTTAGTGTTGACTAATTTAAAAGAATTTATTGAAGTGTTTTCAAGAATGACACGATGTTCTGATCTGAAATTTGAATCAAATTTTCCATTATTTGGATTTGCCACATAAACTAAATTTCCAATTTCAAAATTATGAGGACTAGCTTTCCGAATTATATCATTATATGCTTTCATGTTTTCTTTGTAGACCATATTGAATTCTTTGATGTTGGATTCATCTTCTTCTGCATCATTAACAAGTGAGCTTAATTTAGTTTTGATTTCTCTTGAAAATAATAGGAATGCTGGAGTCTTTCCTGTAGATCTGTTTGGAGTAGTTCGGTAAGACATTAAAATTCTGGATAAATCTTCTTTCCAATCTTTCCCTTCTTCAGAACTTGAATTGAATTGTTTCTTTAGAAATCTATGGAATCTTTCTATCTTCCCATTACTTTTTGGGTAATAGGGTGAGGCTTTGATGTGCCTGATTCCACATTCTTTTAAAAATCTTTCCATTGATGTACTTACAAACTGTAAGCCATTATCTGTTACAACTTCATGTGGATAACCATGTCTTGCAAAAATCTCCATTAATTTTTCAATAATTGTCTTGCTGGAAATGTCTTCTATTATCATTGCTTCAGGATATGAAGAATAGTAGTCGATCACTGTTAAAACATAATGATGGCCAATTGGACCAACTATGTCAATTCCAAGTTTCATATAAGGTTTTGATGGTAACGGAACTATTTGCAATGGTTGATCATTTATCAATGGTTGATTCCTTACACAAATTGGACAGTTTCTTATCAAATTTTCAATGTCAAAGTCCATGTTTATCCAAAAATATTTTTATCTTAACAGTTGTTTGGTTCTTGTCATTCCTTGATGTGTTTCATGTGCAATTCTCAAGACTCTCTTTATTAGTTTTGAAGGTAGCAAAATTCTACTTCCTTTTAAGATAAGATTATCAAAAATTGAGAGTTCATCTTTAAACTTATAAAAACATTTGAATTCTTCATTCAAAGGATATGGCCAAACTCCCTTTTGAACCATATCTTTCAGTTTTTGAAACAAAGGATCTTGCTCTGTACAAACTTTTATCTCTTTCAAAGACAGTGCTTGAAGCTCTTCAGAAGTGATGGATAAGACTTTATGAACATAGTCCTCCAGCCATTTTTCATCACTTGTGTTAGAAAGAGGTTGTCTTGAAAATATATCTGCAATATTTTGCTTTCCTTGAATGAATTCAATTTCAAAGTCATATGGTTGTAATCTCCAACTCAATCTTTGGATTCTTGGAGGCAAAACAGCTCCATTTTTAGGATTCAGCATATAGATTAGAGGTTTGTGATCTGTTTTTAACACAAATTTCCTTCCCCAAATATAGGTGTTAAAATGTTCAATTGCCCATACACATCCCAATGTCTCTTTTTCTATTTGTGAATATCTTTTTTCAGTATCAGTTAAGGATCTGCTGACATATGCAATGGGTCTTTTAATGCCATTTTGTTGTGTTTGTATTAATACTGCTCCAAGACCAATAGGGCTTGCATCTGTGATTAATTCAGTTGGTGAGTTCAAGTTGTAATATGCCAAGCATGGCTCTTTTGTTAGTGACTCTTTAAGATCCTGAAATGCTTTATTTGTTTTCAAATCCCAATTCCACCTAACATTTTTTTCTAGTCAAATTATTTAGAGGTTCTGCCAATTTAGAAAAATTAGGTATGAATTTTCTTAAAAACCCACAAGTTCCTAAGAATGACCTTAACATCTCAATATTTTTTGGTATTGGAAAATTTAAGACTGCTTCTATTTTCTTATTATCAGGTTTAATACCTTCACTACTAACAATGTGACCTAAAATATCCAATTCTTCCATGGCAAATTTGCACTTATTCCTGTTGAGCCTAATGCCTACTTTATCAAATCTTTATAAGACTTTTCTAAGCCTTTCTTCTAGTTCTTGTCTATCTTTGGCGTAAACTACGACATCGTCCAAGTAACAAATTACACCTTTCAAATCAAGCAAAATTGAATCCATTCCTTTCTGATATGCCTCTGGAGCACTTGATAGACCAAAAGGAACTTTACAAAATCTGTAACAACCACGGTGCGTGATGAAAGTTGTAAGGGGTCTTGATTGAGGGTCTAAGTCAACCTGCCAAAACCCTTTTTTTTGCATCCAGCTTTGCAAATACTTAAGCACCTTTAAGGGCATGTAACATATTGTCAATTGTAGGAATTGGATGTCTTTCTCTCAATATTGCTTTATTCACTTCCCGAAGGTCTATGCATAGTCTAATTTCCTCACTATCCCTTTTTGTAACAACTATTATGTTAGAAACCCATTCAGAACCTTGATGCACTTCTTCAATGATTCCATTCTCTAGCATCTTATCAAGCTCTTGATTTACTGCTTCTACCATTGCATAAGGTATACGACGGCATCTCTGGGCAATGGGCCTATAGTTGTCTTTCAATGTCACTTCATGACTATAGCCTTTTATAGTTCCAAGTCCATGGAAAAGATGTTCATGTTCTTGAACAAGAGTTTCTATATTAGTAGACATTGATTCATTTACATGATTTACCCTTTTAATTATACCTAGTTCAAAACTAGCCTTGCCTCCCAACAAAGATTCAACTTTTTTAACAATCACATAAATTTCTTCTGAAATTGAATTTTCTTTTCAAGAAATCACAGCATTGAAATAACCATAACATGGAAGAGATCTATCTTGACCATAGGCAAAAAAGGTTCGGGTGGTGTAATGTAATTTTGGCATAATTTTATGGCCATATAATTCAAGCATCTTATTATAGCTTATGAAAGTTCTATCACTCCCTGTATCAATTATCATATTTATTTCACTACCATCTATTTGCACTTTTTCTTTATTTTCAGCACCTGTATAGTAGGTATATTCATCTGAACTTTCACCTACTTCAGTCTTATTTTCTTCTTGTATGGTCTTAACTTTAGTTTGATTGAAACTTTTGTGGTTTCTATTATTATTTTGATTTGGGCGGTTCCTGCAAGCTCTAAAAAGATGTCCTAATTTATTGCAATATGAACAAGTCATTTTTTAGCACCACATTCTTGTGCTGAATGTGTATCTAATCCACAGCGATAACATTTAGGCTTTGAGGCACCTGAAAATGATGAGGTACCTTGATTAGTGAATCTACCTTTGTTGAAATTATTAGCATTATAGTGCTTTTTAGGTTTAATTTGAACTCTATTTAGTGTTTGATCATTTTGAGGTTCAAGAAGTCTAATTTCTTTTCTAGAAATTTCTAACATTCTAGCAATATCAATGGTTTTTTGACAGTGTCAAATTTTCTTGTTGCAACAATTTTTCTTTAAGTTTTTTGTTGTTACATTTTTCAATTATTTGGTCTCTTATCATATCAGCTTCTAAATTCTCAAATTCACAAGATTTAGAAAGCTCTCTTAAAGAAATTAGGTAGTTGTCGATCGATTCATCATCTTTCTGGACTCTTTGTGTAAATTTAAATCTCTCAGTGACCACATTTTTATGAGGTGTGAAATATTTATCTAAGGCCATTTTAGTTTGTTCATAATTTTCTTTTTCATCTGGCAAGTTGAAAAATATACGTTGTACATTTGGCCCTAAACAATGCAATAGAGTTGTTCTCTTAATTTCATCCGATTTTTTTGTAATTCCAGATGCTATTTCAAAAATGGCATAGGATTCCATCCATTGCTTATATTCCGCAAATAAATTGCTAGCATTCATATTCATGGGTAAAGGTGGCGTCAGGTTGGCTGCCATACTTGTTTTTTTTTTAGGGCTACAGTTATATTTTCAAATTCTCGTCGCCAATTTATGTTGTATAGTTATTAATTAAACATTACTGTTACGCAAACTTTGACTTTTATCATCATCGATGCTGACGTCACTTCCAACTTCTACCTTCAACCTTGCTGTTATGTTTATCGCTAGCTTGTTTTAACAATATTTGTATTGGAACAAGTCGTTCCTTAAATAAATATATATTTGTTTTTATCTAAAGGGATGTCCTCGTAACTAAAACATACGTGAGTACAAAAACAACTAGAAATCCTTAAAAAAGAAACATCGTATTTTTGCTAAGCCTATATCAATTTGGTAGCAGAGCGTGGTTTGGGCGCGCGAATTGGACTAACCGCCAATTGATCCATTTAAATCAAAAAGAAATTAAATAATTGGACTAACCGCCAATTTAGAAAGAAAAAAGTTGAATAAAAATGGATACATATAACTTAGCAAAAATTGAACAGTTAACAGAAAACAACTATACAACGTGGTCCATAAAAATGGAAGCAATTCTAGATTCAAAAGATCTCTTCGAGGACGTAATTGTTAATGACGAGCCAGATTTTACAAATAATAAACTAGAATATGATATTTGGAAGAAAAAGAATCGGGAAGCATACAGCCTAATAATATTGTCACTTTCTGATGACTTAACAATCATCTTTCGAGGCGATAAAAGGGCCAAAAGAATTTGGTACGACATAAAGAAAAGGTTTGAAGGATCTCTAGAAAATAAAAGGATAGACCTAATGTTGGATCTAGCCAGACTAAAATTGACCCCAAATGAAAATGTTAACATGTATATTGTACGAGCACAGAAACTGGCACAAGAGATCACCCAGCTAGGAAAGACAGTAACAGAAAGAGAGCTTGTACGATACATTGTTGAAGGACTCGCACCTAACTTTGACACGATCACAGCAGCACTGTCATTAAACAGAGAAATCTCCTTACCAGACTTGAGACAAACTCTACTGGATTTTGAGAAGAAAAGACAGGACAGAAGCAAAAATCATGAAAATGCTTTCAGATCATCAGGCAACCAATTCAAAGAAAAGTCATGCTTCATTTGCAAAAGAAAAGGACATTTCAAGAAAGACTGTTGGTTCAACCCTAACAACAAAGGAATTCAAAAGAATACAACAAACAAAAATAACATGGCCAGTACAAGGAACTACCATAAAGGACCAAAACAAAACAAAGACACGGCCAGATCAGCAATCCAAGAACGAACGGAGGAACCATCCCAACGAAAAGACTCCACTTCAGAATACGCACTACATGTAAGCACAAGGGAGGAACGCCCGACGACACAGGACGTGTGGATAATTGATTCTGCGTGCACAAGCCACATGACTTCCCATGGTGAATGGATCGAGCACAAGAAGGAGGAGAGAAGAAGCATACAAGTGGCGGAAGAAGGGAGACACATCGAATCTGCCTCATCAGGATCAATCCAAGCTACTGTACAAGGTAAGGACAAACTTAACAACGCTGTAACCCTGCATAATGTCCTCCATGTACCACACCTGAAAGGAAATCTAATGTCCATTCCAAGCGTAGTAAGAAGAGGGAACTCTGTTCTTTTGAATTCTGAAAGAGCATACATATACTCTTCTGATGACAAGCTAATAGGAACAGGCAACTTTGATGGTAACATGTACACATTGAACCTATCACGTTTATCTGAAGCAACTCATGTTCCAAATGAACATTGCTTGATTTCAAAGGACAATTCTAGGACTGCATGGCACAGAAGGTTAGGACATCCTTGTGACAACAAATAAGACCTGATTTTTGAAGAACAATCTTCTAAAAGGCTTGAACTCTATAAATGGTACCCTTGATCAATGTGATGTTTGCTCCTTGGGAAAAATGACCAAAGTACCCTATGTTCACACAGATAGCAATCAGGAAAGCTACCCCTTTGAAGCCATTTATGTCGATCTCTGTGGTCCAATGAGAATAAACTCCTTGGGCGGAAGTAAATATTTCTTGACCATCGTAGATATATTTTCTAGGAGAATATTTGTAGAATTTCTCAAAGATAAACTCTCAGCAGCAGAAGTTTTGAAGAAGTTTATTGTAAAGAGAGAAAACGAGCTAAACTCAAAACTAAAACGACTTAGAACAGATAACGGAACAGAATTTATCAATAAAAACCTTGAAACCTTCATAGAATCCAAAGGAATTAAACATGAACTAACTACACCGTACACCCCAAGAAGCAATGGGAGAGTTGAATGAGCTAACAGAACACTATTAGACAAAGGCCTAACACTTCTGGCAGACTCCCAATTACCCCTACACTTCTGGGCAGAAGCTGTGAATACAGCTGCATATCTGTACAATCTAACTCCCACAACCAATGACCCAGACACTACCCCTATGGAAAAATGGAAAGGTAAAAAGCCATCCGTCTCTCACATCATGAGATTTGGTTGTGAAGTCTTCTATAAACTCGAGAATCATCAAAGACACAAACTAGAAGCTAAATCTAAGAGAGGAATATTTGTGGGCTATTCAAGATGCAGAAGAGCTTATCGAGTATTTGATATCACAGCGAAAGGTTATTCTTGAAACCGCAGACATTCACTTCAGAGAGAACAATAATGTCATCTCGGAAGAAAAACAAAGTGATAATAATACGGACACTGACACATATTTCTTCATTCAGGAGGATGAACAACTGGACAATCATGTTCTATCAGATGTTGATATTGAAGAGCCAGCACCAGATACCATGATCAACAGACAGACAGAGTCAAGTGGATCAGACAGACCACAAAGAACTCGAACAATACCTAAAAGATTCGATGACTACGTTCTGGCTACTATAAATGAAACCATTCCGAAAGACTATGATGAAGCCATTGCATGCGAAGACAAGAAACTTTGGGAGAACGCAATGCTTGAGAAAATACAGAACATGTACTCGCATCAAGTATGGGAACTGGTACCTAGACCTGTAAACGCTAAAGTTGTCAAAAGTAAATGGGTGTTCAAAATATCTAAAGACCAAGAAAACAAAAACAAAACTTACAAAGCTAGACTTGTTGCAATGGGATACAACCAAATCCCAGGAAGAGATTACAACGAAAGTTTCAGCCCTGTAATTAAAAATGCCACCCTCAGGACTATTTTGTCAATGACAGCAACAAAATATTCAGTCATTAAACTATTTGATGTGAAAGCAGCCTATCTAAATGGAAACATTGAAAACACAATATTCATGGAACAACCTGATGGATTTGTCCAAGACAGAAACAAAGTTTGCAAACTCAACAAAAGTATTTACGGTCTACCTCAATCCGGAAGATCGTGGTATGAGAAATTCAGTCAAGTACTTCATGACTGTGGACTGGAAGAACTTAAATCTGATCCTTGCCTATTTAAATGGAAGAATGAAGATAAATACTTCTATGTAGGGATATATGTTGATGACTTTATCACTGTCTCAGATTCTGAAGATACCTCAAACAGATTCATCAATAAATTGAGACATCACCTGGAAATAAAGGATGTAACATGTAAAGGCATGTTTTTGGGAATCAAGATCATATAAGACAGGAGGGAATTTTGCTACAGCAAAGCCACTATGTACAACAAATATTGCAGAAATATGGAATGGAAACTTGTAAGGAAGTTCCAACACCAGGTTCCAAAGAAATAAATTTGGACAATCATATTGAAGATGACAATTGAGATCAGCACACTTACCAAGAAGCCCTTGGAATGCTAATGTTTCTAGCTGTTAACACCAGACCCGACATCGCTTACATCACTAGCAAACTTTCACAGTACTCCAGACAACCAAAACAGATGCACTGGACAGCAATCAAAAGAGTGATGAGATACCTACGAGGAACAATTGACCTAGGAGTGAAATTTGAAAGAGGAAAGACTGGAATACTGAAGTCCTACACCGATGCCAGCTGGTCGACCACTCATGATGGAAAATCCTACGGCGGATATGTATTGAAGCTCGGCGTAGCAACTATAGACTGGAAAAGTAGTAAACAACCACTCGTCGCCCTCTCCACAATGGAAGCGGAAATGATAGCTGCTTGTGAAAGCTGCTGTCGAATCAAGTGGATAATAAACCTGCTATGAGAGCTGGAAGAATGGAATTTCATGGAAAAACCAACTGCGATCTATACAGACTGTCAGTCATTGATCAACTGGATCTCCAGCCCTAAACAAAGCAGTCGCTGTAGACATATCAACAGAAAGTACCACTTCTTGAGAGACTGTTATGAATCCAGAGACATCTGCCTTCTGTACAAGCCATCTCAGGACCTGGAGGCGGATATCTTCACAAAGGACCTATCCCGAGACCAGATGAAGAAACACCTGGAGAACCTCAGCATCGTGGGAATAAAGACAAAGTAAGGAGGGAATTGTTACGCTAGCTTGTTTTAACAATATTTGTATTGGAACAAGTCGTTCCTTAAATAAATATATATTTGTTTTTATCTAAAGGGATGTCCTCGTAACTACAACATACGTGAGTACAAAAACAACTAGAAATCCTTAAAAAAGAAAGATCGTATTTTTGCTAAGCCTATATCAATTACTCACCAGATGAAATTATTTTATTACAAATTGTTTATTACACTTTATATTCATATTTTTACATCAACACGTTGTTTACATTATACATCGTATTTTATTATTGTTAATGATGATGATATATTCTATATTTTAAAACACAGAATACTACATCCACTATCTTGGGTGTGTAATGCTGCTGCTCTGGGTCCATGTAAATTTTCTGCAAGGCTGTGGCCATTGATTTTATACTTTAATAACCTTTTTTATTTACATTTTAATTAATATTTTTTTTTATTTAAAATTAAAAAATAAATATCTATGAAATGAGTTGAGTTACTGTTGACTCACTGTAATGAGTTGACCAAGAGGAACAGTCAGGATGGGGAGTTTTCCAGTACCTCTCTGCACCTTGTAAGTCCTTTAAAAGTTCTCACAGAGTACAGGCAGTCGTGGTCGAGGCAGAGTGGAAAGCTTGGGAATGTCCACACAAAAAACGAAGACACAGTTGCACTAAGAAAGTTCCGTGCACAGATAAAAGTTGAGCTAGGAGCCAAAGATGGAGAGATAGAAGATTTCTTACTGACTACATGGTGGATGGGGAGGACCTTGGTGACAACCGACGTGGGCTTGCGCTGAGGTGAACTAACTGTGAAATGACTGTAAAGTGACTGTATTTATAGGTTAAGATGGGGGGCCTTATGCGACAGGGGCCGTTTCTGAGAAAGGGGGCTTTGCATGTCACCAGATATGAGAGGGGGCTTTGCATTCCACCAGATGTCAAGAGTGTGGGTGGTCTGGCCCATTTTTAGACCTTGTTGTGGGAATTCTAAATCTATCTCGATTTTGACGTTATGACTTCTATCTCTTGCTTAGCTCAACTCTTAATCTATTACAGATTTTTATTTATTTATCCTGTTTGTACAAATTGCATTACATATGATGATGTAAAGACACATGTCAATAATGCGTATAATCATTTACAGATGTGTTTCTATTATACAACATTAAAATCTTGTCATAAGTTATATACAATATGGGTTTGTTGGCTTAAATTACCATATCTACTTATATAATTGCCTTATTCTGTCTGTGTGAAGTTCACTGTGTGAAGTTCACGGATAGATTTTGGTCAGAATGGTTAAAATAAAAAAAGTGTCAAGGGATGGGAATCGACCCCACGACCTTCCACTTACCGGGCAGATGCCATGACCACTAGGCTACCCTGGACATATTTTTCCGTTCATAAAGTTAATATATGAATATTATTTTAATTAAAACATTTTAAAAACACACAGTTTGGAACGGGACGTTTCACAAGAGTGACATCCATGGCGCCAATTTATAATTGTAACGAATAGTATTTGAATTAAAACGTTTTTAAAATATATACACACTCGGGTAAAATCCGGGCGTTGCCCAGGCCATTCGTCTAGTCTACTTATATAATTCCCTTATTCTGTCTGTGTGAAGTTCACTGTGTGAAGTTCACGGATAGATTTTGGTCAGAATGGATAAAATAAAAAAAGTGTCAAGGGATGGGAATCGAACCCACGACCTTCCGCTTACCGGGCAGATGCCATGACCACTAGGCTACCCTGGACATATTTTTCCGTTCATAAAGTTAATATATGATGCCAATATATATAATAATTGTATAAACGAATGCAAGACAAAATCACCGCGAATGTTTCTTTTTTTAAGGCAATTTCTTTTTAAGGCAATTATCGTTTTGCACAATTACTTAATCTTTTAAAATAAATAACAATACTTAAATGAAAATATGTTTCTTTGAATAAAATAAAATAAACTTTTAAATCGGTAACCTTTATGAGAACCTTTAAATATTTGAATAAAAGCATTTAATCGGGTAAAACCCGGGCATTGCCCTTTCATAATCAATTCTGTCACCGTTTGCTTTTGTGAGTGGAATAAATACCCAAATATGGCTATTTCTCATAACCATCGGTGGTTCAGTGGTAGAATATTGTAATATGTAGAATATTTTGTTTATTTCGATTTGGTCTTATTACCTTGTGTTTATAATCTACTAGCGGATGTGCCCGGCTTCGCCCGGGTTTTACCCAAGTGAATGTTTGTCTAACGAACATTTGTTAAAACAATTCTCTATAAACTTATAAAACGTACTCGGCTTCGCCCGGGGGTTTTACCCGAGTAAAGGTTTGTCTAGCGAACATTTGTTAAAACAATTCTCTAAAAACTTATTTAAAAAAAAGATATATTTTGATAATTTGAAACTCGTAAATTTGAATCTCTCGATAAAGTGAACATTTTTTCCAGGTCCCTGTGTGCCGTGTCATCCTGAATTTTGTCATTCCTAATTTTCTACATTAGAAAATCATAGTTTTATCTAGTGAACATTTTTTCCCGTGTCACATTGCCGTGTCATCCTGAGATAATCTTACTTTTGATAAATAATATTTAAGATAACAAACTTGGTGATAAGAAAACTTGTTATCATCGTCACAATGGGGGCGCTGCTTGCGAGTTAAATCTACAAATCTGCAAATAACTCTAAGGATATTCAAGATATTCATGAAATTATTTTTCAAAAACCTTCCCGGTGATATACCTAATAATATCCCAAAATTTAACGGCGATTGGATGTATGGTTTTTGAATCTATAGAGTACAGACAGACAGATAGACAGACAGACATTCAATTTTATATATATAGATATATATATATATATTGTCGCGCGTGTCCCCTCCCGTTCTTCGCGGCGACGCCGCTTCCTACACCGTGGATCACCTAACCTGGGCTAAATTGCTTTTCCTCTACTGCCCTACCCTGCAGATCACCCAAAGACCATCTGAGAAATACCACTCAGGGCAGTATCTCTCGGCCTTACCACTGGTGGGGACACGAGAGACTTACCACAACAGCAGCAACCAGCAACAAGTCTGCTAACACTCCCCCTTTTATTGCCACCTTTAATACACATTACATAAGAACTCGAATATAAATAAACGGGTATTTACACTAATTTAAATCCCAGAGCCAATACAAACAGCTATTTTTAATTATTAGCCCCAGGAAACAGGACCATATCAGTAGGCGATCCCATACTAGTCCCAGTCTATAAATAGCCCAAAGCACCATCTATTGGGGGAGGTTGTAGCTGTTTTCAGGCCGATACTCGCGACAATATATATAGAAGAGTAGCTCGTCACAAATGCGATTGATAAATATGAAACCAAATTGCAAAAAGTTGGGTAGTGTTTTCATTCAACAATAAAAAAGCAAATTTAACAAAATTGTTATAAAAAATAAAGTTTAAATCGGGAATCAACTTGAAGCGAAAATATAGTAAAATTTCAACGCGCCATATTAAATAGTGATTAACTTTACTTGAGATGAGAACCTTTGTTTATATTTTTGCAATTCATATTGCTGCCAGAAGTGGTGACGATCAATATTTTAAAAATTTCGTATAAATATATATTGTCGTTTTAATTAAACAATGCAACGGCTTCTGGAGATGTTTTTTTTTTTTTTTCATTTTATTAACGCAATATCGAGCTTCAGGCATTTCTGCCCTTTTACAGGAGTACATAAAAACGAATAACGACGTTATTCGTATATATATATAGAAGGACAGAAATGCCCCAAAGCTCGAGATTTTGTTAATAAAATGAAAAGAAACTCATCTCCAGAAACCTGTTTTTATTTGTATCCAGGAGATTTAAATCAATTGGTATTATCGTTTTATTGCTGATAAATTCTTATTATTCTATTGAAAGTGAAAATATAATTTACACAAAATATTATATTTTTGTTTGATTAAAAAATTGACGAAAATACATATAAAATCAAGTATAAAATCGGTAGATTTTGCACAAATAAATTTAAAAGGAAAAATAAAGTGTATAAAACCTGACAATCGTGATGTAAAAGGTTCTAAATAAAGCATTTGAACTTTAACAATTACAATTTAAAAAAAAAGAATATGTATAAATAGATATTTATATTGTTTAATATTTTTATTAGATCTTTCATTGATACAACACTCAATAAAGATCTTCAGCGTCATTGTTGCCATAGTAACGTAAACAAAACAATGGAGCCCTGCGAAAATTACTTTTTGTTACAAATAAACGGACAGATAGAAGGTGCTCGCGTAAGTAAAAAATATTGTAATTAATTTAAAATGTCACTTTTTTCATATCTATTTCGCCTACACTTTATTTTTAAATGGGACCGACCATTCAATGAGAATATAAACGCTTCTCCTTAATCCCAGATGCACAAAAAGAGCTTTACATTTTTGGTAGAGAAAAATATAGGTAAACCGAGTTCTTGGGACGAATTTATGGTCACTATGACTGTGATTCTCAATAAGAAGATCTACTGTTCTGTAATAATCTGTGTGGGGAAATTGTAGCCTTGTTTTTATTAACTTGAAAAGTTCAGTGTAATTACAATGCCCAGTTTATTGCATAAAATATTATCTAAAAGAATTTTTACCTGAAATTTCTATCCTTCTTTATATAGGATATTCAGGATCAATAATTATTTTTTATTACTTTTTTTTCTATGACCTTTAAATATATTTTTGTGTGAATTAGCCACTATAAGACACTTAAGAAATGTTATATAGGTTTGAAATTT